TTGCTGTGAATAAAGTCCTGAAAACTGCTGCAAGAAGAGCTCCGGGTGTTGCATTTTTCCTTGCTGGTCGACGGTGGACGCGCGACACTCTAATAGCTCACTTAAACAATGGATTTGGGGGCGTGGTTGCACATGCCCTGTTATCTCAGACTCAGGAGGCAGAGGGAGGAGAATCACAAGCTCAAGATCAGCCTCATCTACACAGAGTTCAAGACCATAAGTAAAGTATTTTAAAAGTTTCAAATGTGCTTTTGCAAAAACACCACATAATGGGTAGACAGCAGTTCATAGTCAGATACTGTCCAGTCTGTGAGAATATAAAATCTCAGCTTCTCTCCGTGTCCCTGTTTCTCAAAGCAAGTGTGGATCAAACAAACCCAGGATGGAAATATAGCTCCATACCTACCAGCTTCAAGATTCTGGAGAAGGTGCTTAACCCCTGCGAGCCTCAGGATCCTGGACGGTAAGAAGGGAAAAGAGCCATTTCATGGAGCTAGTAGATTGAGAGAATGTGTGAAATATGTTGACCAAGCACAGTGATTTCCCTCATAATTTCATCAATGTAATGATTATAATGATTATATCCATCTAAAGAGCAAACTGGCAGAGAGTAAAACAGGGACCACACCTAAAATCCTAGCACTTAGGAGGCTGAGGCTGAGGTCCCTGAGGTTGTGGTCGCAAACACACAGGAAGTAATTGTCTCGATGGAGACAATTACTATAAGATTTCAAACACTTCATAGATCTCCATGTTATAGCTGATATTCTTGCAAGTAAACTGGTTACTATAGAATAACAACTAAAAACCTAGCCACACAGTTAAAAATGTATCAGTTTAATAAAAATGTAAAATATCTTACCTGCTGAGAGCTTTCTATGACAAGAGCCAAACCAAATTTTGAATCTCTAATCTTTATTGAACGCTATATGAAATGAAAAAGAAAAGACACACATTTTTATTATCTAGTAGCAGTGAGTCTTTAATACACATCTATTTTATGTATTGTGCTGTAGCCCTGGCTTCTGAAAAGGGTCTCATACCTCAGGCTGGCCTGGAACTATGGGAAATCCTCCTACCTTAACTTACCTTAGTGTGAGCTAGCACATCTACTTTTGCCAAGTAGTATCATCTAAAAGGCAGACGCCCCTCTACCCTCTTTCCACGGGGTCAGAAAATGACAAGACTCCTACTGAAGACAGATGGCCAGTCGACAAAACCATATACAGAAGACAACCATGGAGAGCCACCCGATTCCAACATTCCTGACTGCTATAGTCAAAGGGTTGTCTGAATATTTTACACAAAAGGCCAGCAATTTTCAGTTATTAGGAGCCAGTGACTTTCTTGGCTCCTAAAACAAGATTAAAGTTATATGTACCATTCTGTTTCTCACACCTTGCTCTGGTTAGTTTTTTATTTTTTTTTCAAGACAGGGTTTTTCTGTAGCATTGGGGCCTGTCCTGGAACTAACTTTGTAGACCAGGCTGACCTCAAACTCACAGAGATCCACCTGTGTCTGCCTGCCTCCCGGGTGCTGGGATTAAAGGCATGCGCCACCACCACCTGGCTCTGGTTAGTTTTTTGTCAAACCAACAAAAGTTTGGGTCATCTGGTAAGAGACCACCTGAACTGAGAGATCAGGCCGGCCTACTGGCAAGCCTGTATGGCATTCCCATAATTCATAATTGGTATGAGAGGGCCCTGCTCATTGTGGATGGTGCTACCAGGGTAGGCAGTAATGGAGTCTACAAGAAACCAGGCTGAGCAAGCTATGAGGGTTCTAGCCAGTAAGCTGCATCCCCCATGGCCTTTGTATCAGTTCCTGCCTCCAGGTTCCTGTCTTGTTTGAGTTCCTGCCCTCACTTCCCTCAGGGATGGACTGTGCTGTAGAACCATAAGCTAAAACAAACCCCTTACTCCCGAAGTTGATTTTGGTCAGGGTGTTTTTTTTTTTAAGATTTTTTTCGAGACAGGATTTCTCCGTAGCTTTTGGTTCCTGTCCTGGAACTAGCTCTTGTAGACCAGGCTGGCCTCGAACTCCCAGAGATCCGCCTGCCTCTGCCTCCCAAGTGCTGGGATTAAAGGCGTGCGCCACCACCGCCCGGCTCTGGTCAGGGTGTTTTAACAGCAACAGAATCCCTAACTTGGAATTTGTGCCAGCCCATGGGGTACTGCTGTGATAGATCTGACCATGTGCCTTTGGGAGGACTGTGGTGGCATTTGGACTTTGGGCTAGAAAAGCCACTAAGTGCTCAAAGCATAATGGAGTGTTTTCTCTGGGAGCAAATGAAGTGATGTGGACACAAACCCTTTACTCTCCAAGTTGCTTTTGGTCATGTTTCATCACAGCGACAGAAAACTAAGACAACGTTAATCTTGACCTATCTATCTAAACAGGTGACACAGGCTGGTCAGACAGGGTGTGCACACATGCACAGACACAATCACACACACAGACACACAGACACACAGACACACACACACACACACAGTGCTGGGGCTGTGGAGCCGTGGCTGAGGCTGGAGCTGAAGCTGGGGTATGACTCCTAAGTGACAAGCTGTGATGGATCGTACTGCAAGCTGTTTGGGTCAGGCGGAATTCATTCCAGAAGTCGCATTTGGCAACTCTATTCTTAAACAACAACAACAAAATTCCACCTGAAGACCAGAAAGCGCAAGGCTTTTTTACTACTCAGTAAATATTCAGCACAACAGGGGTCAGGCTAGGTAAGCCGCAGCCACATAAAGGAGCACAGAGCAGCAGCAAACAATGATGGGGGCGTACCTCTGTAACCCCAACACTTGGGTGGACACTTGGGTGGGTGTAGCATGAGGATTGCTGTGAATTTGAGGCCCTTGCTGGATGGCATAGTGAGTTCCATCAGTCAGGACTATAGAATCTCTGCCTCAGAAAAATCCCAAACTAAACAAAACCAAGCAATAAACAATACAGATATCAATTTATCAAGCACACGTGCGTTGACACTCAGCCTTGACAACTGACCATTTCTGTCTGGAAACGTAGCTCAGTGGTAGACTACTTGTCTACTTTGTACAAGGCCCTGGGTTTGATCTCCAGTACCACAAACAAAACAGATGATCGTGTTTCTTTAGATTTCCTTCCTATCAAACTCTGACTGCCCATTTAATGTGCTGCTTCCTCTGCTCTCAACAGCAGGGCTGTGCGCTGGCTCACGGTCTTGACTGTTGATCACAGAGCACAAAGTGAAACTGTTTTAATGAGGGCTTCTGCTGTGATAAACACCATGACCAAAAGCAACCTTGGGAGGAAAGGGGTTATTTCAGTTCCTGCATCCTAATGGTAGTCCATCACGAAGGGAAGTCAGGGCAGGAGCTGGAGGCAGGGCTGAAGCACAGGCCAAGGAGGACTATGTGTGTGTGCCTTTGGAGGGTGTCGGATCCCCTGGAGCTGGAGTAACAGGCGACTGTGAGCTAAAGCTATTAGGACTAGGAATTGAACTGGGGTCCTCAGAGAGAGCAGCAAACACTCTTAATCACTGAGTAGTTGCTCCCGCCTCTTGGAAAGCCGCTTGCCGTGGAATAATCAATCCTTCTGTACACTGTGAAATGTGTTGCTCTCATTGTTAATTAAAAACTGACTGCCTGACAGCTAGGCAGGATTTGGGGGGCAAAGAGAACGCTGGGAAGAAGAAGGGAAGAGTCTGAGGAGTTTCGAGCTAGATGCAGAGGGGCAGGATGTGTAGAAAATGAGATGATGGGTTAATTTAAGTTTGTAAGAGCAGGCTGGAGACAAACCTAAGCTATCAGCTGAGTGTTTATAATTAATAAGTCTCTGAGTGGTTATCTGGAACTGGTGGGACAGAAAAGTCTGCCTACAGTTTTTTTTTTTTTTCTTTTAGCGTTGGGGATTGAACCCAGGGTTTTGAACACACTAGAGAGGCACTATCAGGGAGTTACACCCCGAGTCCTTCAGTCCTTTTCCTTCCTTTTCCGTTTTTGAAACTTGGTCTCACTATGACACCTTGGTTGGTCTGGAACTTGCTAGGTATACTAGGCCTGAACTTGGGGAAATCCTTCTACCTTTGTTGCTCTAGTGTTGGAACTAAAAGTATCTACTCTGCCTGATTTATAAATACCTAAAGCCTTTTCTGTTAAAATGTTAAGGCAACATTTTGAAAACTTGCTTTTATTTACTTATTTTTGACTATACTTTAAAATTATATTTATTTACTTTTGATTTATCTGGGGGAGGGACACGTGTGTATGCCAAAGTGTGTAGAGTACGGAGGTCAGAGAACAACCCATAGAGTTGGCTGTCCTTCCGCCATGTGGATCATCGGGACTGAATTCAGGTTTGGTGGCAAGCACCTTAACCTGTGCCGTCTTACTGGCCCCAAAAGCATGCTAAAAAGGAAAAAAAAAACCCAGAACTCATACAACCCCAAACATCCAATTATTAACTATACGAATACCCTAAATGCATGAACTTACAATTTGCAGATATGGTATGCTGACATTAAAACTGTCGTTCATGTTTGCATGCCACACAATCCTCACATTGGTAATAAAAAACGTTCCTAAATTTCCCTGCAGAAGAGAGAGAGGTACATCAATGATTGACTGTATTCCCAGTCTGTTTTCTAAGACCCGGAATAATTCTGATTATCCCAGCAGTAGATTAATAAAGAAGTTAGTATTATGGACTATATACTATATAGTGACTCTACTATTTCCAGGCTGGCACAGTTAGATGATTGAGTGCCTGGACCCTGGTATCATTAAGCAATAGGACACCAATACAGTTAAAACATCAGAGTTAGTATATCTGTCTGAGAACAAAGTTCTTTTTAAATTTTTAAAAATTGATTGTGTGTGTGCATATGTGTGGAGTTCACAGGACAACTCTCTGGAGTAAGGTTTTTCTGCCACCTTATAGGATCCGGGAATCAAACTCAGGCTATCAAGGCTGTACGCTTGATAGCCTGAGCCATTCCAATGACCAAAAAAAAAAAAAAATTCTATTTGGTATATATTTGTCAACTGTAGATTGGGAATTTGAATAAATAACCCATGTTTTTTTTTAACGCACCTTAGCCAGATGGTAATCCCAGCACTCAGGAGGCAGTGGTAGGCATCTATCTTTGGGAGTCTGAGGCTAGCCTGGTCTACAGAGTAAGTTCCAGGACAGCCAGGGCTACACAGAGAAACTCTGTCTTGAAAAATATCAGTTAAACAAGTAAACAAAAAAGTAACCCCTCAATGAAAAGGCCTTTAATATAGTACCTGACACACAGCATTTTTTAAAAATTACATCTTTCTATACTTACTCAAATTTGAGCTATGCCTGAACAAAGAAGTTATGTCAACTGAAAATAAAGCTACGGTATAACCCCCATTGACCTATCAGGATATATGGTGACTCTTTAATACGGACTATATCAAAACTACAGCCAGATGTGGTAATTCACCCCATAGTCTCAGGACTCGGGAGGCTAAGGAAGGAAGACCATGAGTCCAGGGCCAATGTGGGCTACACAGTGAGACTTTGTCTCCATAAACAAAACTTGGGGCTAGAGAGATGGCTTAGTAGTTAAGAGCACTAGTTGCTCTTTCAGTGGAGCCAGGTTCAATCCCCAGGATCCACAAGGCAGCTCAAACCATCTGTAATACAGTTCCAAGGCAGCCAATGACCTCTATCTTCCAGCCTCTATAGGCATAAGGCACACATATGGTCCACAGGTATACAGGCAAGATACCTATACACATAAAATAAAACAAAACACCACCACCAACAGAAACAATGAAAAATATTTTTTTAATTATATGTTTATATTGAGGCAGGGTCTCACTTTGTAGCTCTGGCTGGTCTGGAATTCACTATGTAGACAAGGCTGGTTTTAAATCGATGGAGAACTAACTGCCTGCCTCTGCCTCTTGAGTGTTGGAGGTAGGCTGTGGCACCAACCTATATAATTGTGTGCATGTGTGTGCGCGCACGTGTGCGCATGCATGTGCTTGGATATGCACATGTGAGCGTTAGTGTCCATGGGGGCCAGAGGCACCGATCTCCCTGGAGCTAGTGGCTGTGAGGTAGTGGGTCTGAAGCCCAGTACTCAGCTGAAGAAGCCGAGTTCTAGGGCAGATTGGGTTATATAATAAGACCCTGTCTCAAAGCTAAGCACAAACACAGGATAAAAGGTCTCTGTGGAGCCAGGCGGTGACTTGGCACACACCTTTATTCTCAGCACTCAGGAGGCAGAGACAGAAGGATCTCTGTGAGTTCAAGGCCAGCCTGGTCTACAGAGCTAGTTCCAGGACAGGCTACAAAACTACAGAGAAACCCTGTCTAGAAAAAAACCAATAAATAAGTAAATATATAAATAAACAAACAAATAAATAAATAAGGTCTCGGTGGAACTGGTGTATGCTTATAAACCCTGAGACTCAGAGAACAGAACTAGGCGGGTTCTCCATAAATTCTTGGCCAGTCTGCATTACATGGTGAGTGCCAGGGGTACTTCTGTCTGTCCACACCAGGGCTCGCCCCTGCCAGTGTGTCATAGTGACAAGTGTGATCGTGTCTGAGGCCCACTGCCCTTGTTGGTTCTCTGCAGAACAGAAGCTGATGTAAAGGGCACAAGACCTCGGAAGTTAGAGTATCACTTACAGCTGTAGTTCATCCACATCTCTAATGCTGACTTTATCACACCCAACCATGAGTGGGAAGTGGCTGCTGAGACAGCCCAGAAGTCATCCCTTTACGCAGTACCTGGTCGCTGGATAAATTCCAAACGCCGTTGATCTTATCGTACACGTGCTCTTGTGGTAACAACCTCAGCTGCTTGTTTTGAATGACTGCACTTCTCAGTTTAAAGTCACGGTACATCTTAGATGTCTCATATGCTCTACAGAAAAGGTGAAAGCAAAGACCCGTGACTCCAAGCAGAAACTGCAGTGCTGTGAGGATACGTTTACTCGTCTACTAGAGACATCGCGGTTAACGCTCGAAGATTTCACTCAGTCATTATGCTGAATTCAAACCATCTCCATCTGGCCGTTGTAGCACAAGCCTGTTAGCTCATCACCTGGGAGGCTGAGGCAGGAGAACTGTTTGTTGACAGTTTGAGGGCATCCTGGACAACCTACTGAGTTCTAGCCCAGCCTGGGCTATAGAGACCATTTAAAAAAAAAAAAACCCAAAGAACAAAACAATAGTTTCCCTTTCAGTGAGGATGAGTAATTCTAGCTTCCCATCCCGGTGGCAGGATGCTGACACACTTACTGCAGTGCCCAGTCCTTCATTTCCCAGTGTAAGTCAAAGTTATCAGTACTCTCTGGACGCAGGCAAAGGTCCAGTTAGCATTTTCACTACGACCTGAAAATAATATGCTTGTATCTATCCATGCAGACAAAACTATGTCAATGCTAAAGAATATCTAGGGCGGGGAGGTAGAGGGAGAAAAAAAAAAACCAAAATCTGATTTTCCTTTAGTTAGGATTCTGTTCCGTTGTTAAGCAGTAGAGTTTGAGCATCCTGTCTATAAATCTTAATTTCCTTTGGTTCATTATCATCAAGATATAACCAGTTGAAGAATGGAACTGCTTACACTATTCATTTAGAAAGCAACAAAGTGTTTTTGTTTTATTTTTCACATTTGTGTGTGTGTGTGTGTGTGTGTGTGTGTGCGTGTGCATACCACAGTACATGTGTAGAGACCAGAAACAACTTGTGGCAGTCGGTTTTCTCTTGCCATGTCGGTTCTGGACACAGAACTTGGGTCATCAGGCTTGGCAGAAAGCACGTTTACCTGCTGAGCCATCTTGCGGACCCAGAACACAATATTTTTATATTATTAATAGAAAGCAGCTCCTATGATCCCCTCATAAACCACTTCAAGCTTTTCATTTTATCGTATTCTTAAAAATTAGATGTCGGCTTTGAACTTACTATGTAGTCTAGTCTTGATCACAGTACTTATTAAGTCAAACAAAGAGCTATGATTTAAGTGTTTGAGTATAAAAATTGAAAACTATATGTTGTTGCTATAGTGCTGGGATGGCACCCAAGACCTTGACTATGCTAGGCAGGGGCTCAGCCATCGAGCTGTCCCTCACATATCCCAAGACAAACACTGGTACATAGATGGTCAGAGAAGCATAACTAATAATCCAAAGAATTATAAAGAAAAATTGCTTAGGGAAAACACCTGAATGTCTATTTGTATTTCTGAAAATCTTTTAAACTCATTACATAAAATTTTTTATCTTGGCCAATAATTTAGTAAAATCTTTCCAATAGTCTTCCATTTTACAAAGAGTAGCAATACATAGTCCAGGATGGCTCAGACCCCCAATCCTCCTGCTTTACCCTCTAGAGTGCTGGGATTACAAGTGTGCACCACTACCCCTGGGACCTTGCACACTTTATTCTTTCAAGGTGCTCGATATATGATAATGAAGTGAATTATTCTAAATACCTGGGATATATGATAATGAAGTATACTATTCTAAATACCTGGTATATATGATAATGAAGTATACTATTCTAAATACCTGGGATATATGATAATGAAGTATACTATTCTAAATACCTGGGATATATGATAATGAAGTGAATTATTCTAAATACCTGGGATATATGATAATGAAGTATATTATCTAAATACCTGAGATATAAGATAATGAAGTGTATTATTCTAAATACCTGGGATATTTGCAACTAGAAGATATTGTTGTACATCTAAATTTCATCCTTTATAGCAATACATCAAAATAATTTGACATATTCAAAAATCTGTGAGGGGCTTCTGTACCTGTGCACAGCGATCACAGAAGTAAAAAGTCTAGGGCTTCCAGGAACCAGATTTGTGAAAATAAACTCAAATCGGGTGGCGTTACATTTTGTCAGCATATAAAGAGCTTCAGTTTGGCCTCGTAGTTTCTGTAAGGACAAATTTATTATGAAGTTCAGAGTTAAAGCACAAGTTTCCATTTAAGGTGGAAGCAAGCCTTAACTTTAAATATCTAATGTTTTCCACCATACATCTACTTCACTAGGACTTTTCAGACTTACGGAGTTAGTAGTTCTTGTTGTAATATTCAATATGCAGTTGTAACCAATAGCTACAATTGAAAAAAAGACAAAGAATATAAGGAGTATGAAATCATAAACGGACAAACATAATATAGTAAAAAAATTTAAACCTAAAACTTTAAAGCTTTGAAAATTAAACATGAGCAAAAGTACAACTTTTAAAGTTTTATGAGAGAAGTTCAAATTGAGGTTAGGGATGTAGCTCAGTGGACAGAGAGCTCTTGGCAAAAATGAAGCTTACCACTGAGCTTTGTCCTTGGCACTTTGGATTTTTGTGTTTTTGTCTGTTTTAAATACAAAATCCACCATCCAGCACTCCTGAAAAAGTAATTTGTTTTCCTTTAACATCTTATTTAAGAAGAATACTTACAAAGATTGACTCTGGGTAATGCCAAGGAATGCCAGATGATTCTTAAGTTTGTTACTAAGAGTCTACCTAAAGGCAAAGCAAGAAAGAAGAGATTAGCTGAAGGTCCTTTTCAAAGCACAGAGTGAGATGGGAATGGGAACTGTGGCTCAACAGCCTGTGTGTGGGTCGATGTCCAATACTTATTTTAGCTGCATCCTGTGATCCAGATACTCAAACTGAGCATGGTGCTGCTGCATGCTGTGACCCAAGTGCTCAAGGAAGTTGAAGGTCAATACTAGCTGCATACCAAGTCTGAGATCAGTCTGGTTTAGATGATTTAAAAAAAAAAAAAAGAATAGGTTGGGCAAGGTAGCACCTGCTGCCATGACTTGCCTGTTACGATGAACTCTAACCTGGAACTGAGAGATAGAATAAACCCTTCCCTAAGTTCCTTTTGTCCCGTGCATTGCCACAGAAACGAGAAATGCGATACACAAGTGCCATCTGAGCGGCTCTTAGCATTCTCAATTTGTGTGCCTGTGTTTTTGTGTTTGTGGATGCACACATTTGCAGAGATCATGGGGGAGCATCAGGTGGCCTCCTCTACCATTCTCCCAGCCCCACTGATGCTCCTATGCCAGCCTGCCCCAGTGCATAGGAAGCACTCTTAAGTGCTGTGCCATTGCTCCATCCCAACAGCGCTCATTCAAATGAACCATGCACTTATATAGCCAATCCTGCTAGTGGTACAGGCAAGAAAGGTTGACTGCAGAAAAAGTAGAAGTTCTTTGGTGCTAGACCAAGAAGTTCAGAGTTAATCCTACTAGTAATAAAACTGAGTTGGGGGGGGGGGCTGGAAAGATGGCTCAGCGGTTAAGAGCACTGGCTGTTCTTCCAGAGGACCCGGGTTCAATTCCCAGCACCCACATGACAGCTAACAACTGTCTGTAACTCCAGTTTCTGGGGATCTGATGCCTTCACACCAATCCACATAAAATAAAGTTAAACAAATTATTAAAATGAATAAATAAAACATTTTAAATTACATGTATTATTTAAAAAAACTGAGTTGGAGTTTAGGCTTAAAATAAATTTTAAGAAGAGTTGGCATAGTGGCGCATGCCTCTATTTAATCCAGCACTGAGGAGGCTGAGACCAAGACAGGTAGATCTTTATGAGTTCCAGGCCACCATCAGACATGGCTACATAGTGAGACACTGTATCAAAGGGAGAGAGAAGGCCTGGCATGGTGCGGCACACCTTTAATACTAGTACTCAATACTTTAGTACTTGATACTTGATACTCTAGTACTTTATACTTAATACTTCAGTACTTGAGAAGCAGGTATATCCCTGAGTTTGAGGTTAGCCTGGCCTACAACAAGAGTCCCAGGACAGCCAGGGCTATAGAGAGAGACCTTTCTCAGAAGAATCAAAAACAAGGAAGGAAGGAAGGAAGGAAGGAAGGAAGGAAGGAAGGAAGGAAGGAAGGAAGGAAAGAGGATGTTGTGGTTGAAATAGGTATGGACCTCTTAGATTCATGTGTTTGAATGCTTAGCCTATAGAACAGTAACGAGCTTTTAGGTCCAGTTGGTTGCACACTGACCACTGTTTTGTTTTTAGCTTCAGGCAGTTTGATTTGGGAAGGATGTTAGAGTCCAGCTACAGCTGTTTCTCAGTGGCCCTAAGCGGGGGAAATTCCCACAGGACTTTCTACTTGACAGACAGACTTCTCAGTGTAGCACTAACGTTCTCTTTGTATGTGTCGACTTATTCAATCTGAGGGGGCTGTGCAGTACTTCAGGATTAAGGTGAAGTGTGGCTACAGATACTACAGCCAAGAATATTTAATGGTCATCACTCTGCATTCTTTTAGCAGGAGGTAGATCCAAGGGCAGGAACTAACTAGTCTATAGTGCTTACAAACAAGGTTCCTGGAGCTTTAACCATTATACTAACAAATCTCATGTCATTAATGACGGGCTAAGCTGAGGGAGAATCGGTGTTTCCTATCTGTAGGATTAATACCTACCTTTTCCTCTGCTGGAGAAAATCTGTGGACTTCACTGTTTTCTTCTCCCAGTTACATTTACATATGATGCTTTTTCTCCAGCTAATGTGAATCAACACATATAAATTAAACTCCAAAAAAATAAAACTCAAATCTACTCACCTCTATCCCCATTATTTCCTTTTGTGTCTTCAATCGAATCTAAACAGTCAATAAGGACTTCTCCGGGTCTTGTTTTCATCTGTCTAAAATAAACATAAAACGGTGCTGGTTAGAACTTCACCTCTGTTACCAATCTACTCAGGGAAGAGAGGCGTAGGGCAGACAATAGTGTAATAAATGCAACACTGAGTGCTCATGCAGTTGAAAATAACTTCCAGACCCTGGGGTATCAGGGGTCTCTGGGGTCCAGCCCCAGGGGCCTCTTCAGGGTCCATATGAGATGCTACAGGAAATGAAAGAAACTTTCTGTATCTGAGGGCAAATGAATTCTCTCACACTGTGCTGTTCCAAACAAATCTCTTTATTCTTCTGCTTCTATTCTAATTCTCATGTCCTAATTCTAATTCTAGCTTCTTCTCTATCCTAGGAACTCCCTCTCTCACTTGGGCCTTGAAGCAATGAGAAAAATTACAAGAGTTACCTCTCATTGGTCAAAATCACATTCGTAGGGTAAACGATGAGGAGTCAAGCCATTTACCATGGCAATACAAGGCTCCCAGGTTTCCTTACTCCAAGGAGTAAGACTGTGACAAGACCAGGGGTGGGGCACAATGCCCAGTGACAAACTTTGAGACGTAGGTCTATTGTCGGCAGTCTTGGAAAGCGAAGAACTGGTGTGCTTTCCTTAGGGCGCTTTGTGGAGCAACCTTGTTAGACATCTGTGAGTCTGACCTTGTGCACAGCCGTAACGTTTTAAACTTATGATCTGTTTACAAAGAGCCTTTAGTCTAGTTTGAATTTGTGCTGAGGTAAAAATGTGCTAATTGTGCGCAGTTAGTCTGAGCCAAAGGAACAGGCATCTAAGTGTCTACAGTCCTCCTGGGACAATGGGTCTAGTTATAAAGCATGCCCTAGTATATTTTCTATATATCAAAATTATACAGATAAATGAAAAGTCATCTTCCTGACCGCTCACAGATATGTGTGTGCCCAGTTGAGGTAATGTTTTCACAAGATGAATACACAAGCAGTGAGAAAACACCGAAAGCTGTTCTTAGGGAAGAAATGAAGTGGCGCCTGAGAGGAATTACAGATACAGGCAATGGCTTCCAGGGTCAGTGGTTCTGTAAGCCTTGCTAGACAGGATTATCTCCATCAGAGTCTGCCGGGTGGATACCTGAATGCCAGCTGTTATGTGCTGTATACCTCCACGGCCTCTGACACCGGGAGTCAGTGAGACCTCAACTGACCAGCTAGGTCCAGAACTAGAGTCTTGGATAAGTAAAAGGAAAAGAGCAAAGAGTACATGACTGAAAAAGAGGCACAAGAAAGGTAAGAGAGCCGGGCGGTGGTGGCGCACGCCTTTAATCCCAGCACTCGGGAGGCAGAGGCAGGCGGATCTCTGTGAGTTTGAGGCCAGCCTGGTCTTCATACAGAGTGAGTTCCAGACAGCCAGGACTGTTACACAGAGAAATCCTGTCTTGAAAAACGAGAGAGAGAGAGACAGAGAGACAGAGAGAGAGAGAGAGACAGAGAGACAGAGAGAGAGAGAGAGACAGAGAGACAGAGAGAGAGAGAGAGACAGAGAGAGAGACAGAGAGAGAGACAGAGAGAGAGACAAAGAGAGACTGGATGGGGGGGCAGGCAACAAAGAGAACAAGAGGCTTCTAGGTAGAGGAAGGACACCAGGCAGTTATGGAAGGAACGATTTTTAAAAGGAGTTGTATGAGAAGCACCCTCAGGGGCAAGGGATATGGCTCAGCAGGTAAAAGTGACTGCCACCAACACCGCTGACCTGGGACCCTAACGGAGGAGAGAACTGCAAGTTAACTTCTGACCAACACGCCAGCACGGAACACACAGAAAGGACTCCTACTGAGCTGTCTCCACGGTTCCTTTCGCTCATTTGTCTTTACACTGCAGCCCATCTTCTGCATCCAGAAGGAGGAAGGGTGTGTGATTAGTACTCTCTCTTATTTTTTTTTTTGTCTCTATCAGCAAAGTAACCAGCATGTGATAACTGTCTGGTAACTGAAAATGTTTATGAAAAATGGAGTTTTGTTTGGATTAAGAGACACACCCCCCACCCACTCCCAGAACTATACAAAAGCCACGAAAGGTGTGTAACGAGTTACTGTGGGTTGTAATTTTACAAATATCCCTTCCCTTGACTTCACAAAGGAACTAATATCATGTTAGGCATTCAATTGCCACAAAAACTGAGAAATGTACCAGTATTTCATTTTTCCATTCAAGGAGGTACTGTTCATGATAAAGCACCATTAGGAAGTTGCGGAGGCGCCACGTATCTATTGATCCGAGAACGTCAGCTTTCGTGTTTTTTTTAAACATTTATTATCTCAGCGCCCCCCATCCCCTCCCCACTGGGCAGGAAGGTTTTTAACAATCTTCTCTTTAAAGCATACTCCCCACGAACAGGGCTTCTGTTTAACAGGCACGAAAAGATTTAGATGAAAGCTCAGCCCGGACACAAGGTTTGTGTGGTCGGAAGTTTTGGAGACTTCTCACTCCCACCGCCCTCATTTCACAGTCACACAAGTTGTTCAGAGGCAAGGCTATTCCAGATTTTGTCCTAGAACCCCGCTTTCGGGAATCCCTGCCCTACATCCCCTCCACCGCCGGACGCGGAGGGTCACAGCCTTGATGGCTCCCACTCGGGATGAACAGCGGGCCAAGGCAAGGCCGAGGGCCGCAGGGGACCGCAACGGCGAGGTCCCAGCGGGGTTCCAGCGCGTGGCGGACACTCACTGCGAGGACACGTCGAAGCGCACATCGCGGTCCTCCCACAACACGTCCAGCACAGACATGGCGACCGAGGTTCCCCGCCGACGCTGTCCACTGCGGAGGTTCTGCGGCGTCTTGCGGGTTCCAGGGCAACCCGCTAACCGCATCACCGCCTCTACGGCGGGCGCCGAGGCCCAAGCTTCCACCAGGTAGTGCACGCTTTTCCCCCTACCGTTTTGCGTCACTGGATCAGTTTGAGGCGGGAGTCTGAGAGGGTGCTTGACTTCTGAACCACCTCTCTGGTCTCCATGCATATTTTTAGCCATTTCAACCTTCTCGCTATTTTTCTACACCATCCAGAAATCTTCATCAAATTACGTTCCTGGTTTGGCGGGACTCTCACCCTGCCCACCCTGCAGACCCTGGAGGTCCTGACTCTCTTTGACCACACATTCCGCCCGAGACTCAGAACCTGTTGAGGTCCTACTCTGGTCTCGATCACTGCTTCCCCAGATGTGTGCACCCCCAGCCTTAAGTCTTATTTTACAAGTCAGCTCTGGGGTCCCTCTATTGTGAGCAAACAAAAGACGAGCTCTTTAAAGAACGCGCTGTACAGAGCGAGCACGGTATAAACATTTTTGCCTTTCTTTTTTTTTTCCTAAAGAGACAAGGTTTCCCTTTGTGGCCCTCCATGCTGGCCTGGAAATAGAACAACTAGCTTCCCTAGTGGGGAATTACGAACATGCATCTTGCCTGGTTTAGAAATACTTTTTAAAAAAGGAATCAAAGTGTTTTTTTTTCAGCACGTGACAATTCTTAGTAAACAAACAACATATTAAATAAATTACATATTCACAGAGAGTGGTCTAGGGTTTCCTGGTGTACTCGAGATTTTTCATGGCCACAGTTGCCTTTTAAATTCTGGTGGGGTCATGGATACACACTGTGTGTAATTGCGGATGGACGCAGAGAGAAGACTCCAGTTGCTGTTTGCTTTCTCCCAGACGTTTCACGGTGTATGCCTCATTGATTGTCCTGGAACTTACTATGGCGACCAGAGTGGCTGTGAACTCGCATCAACCCTCCTACTTTAACTTCAGAATGCTGTTATTAGACATGGGGACCATTCTACCCGTTGTTTAATGGGCTAGGGCATTTTGGCTTTAGGATTTATTATCATTCAAATCCTATTAGCGTCGTTCGTGTCTCTGCCTCAGCCTCCAGGGATTATGGTGTGAACCACCATGCTCACCTTTTCAAAGTTAAAAGAGAGAGAGGGGGTGGGAGGATCTTGCTTTGCAGTCCAGGCAGTCTTTGTGGTCCTCATGGTTCTGACTTCAGCGTCCCGGAGTTACAGCCTTGTGCTATCACGCTGACTGCAGCAGCCTGTTACTAAGCGAGACTTGAAACAGTTTTGTAAGAGGGGCTGGTTACATGGCTCAGGGTTAAGAGCATCAGCGGCTCTTCCAGAGACACAGGGTTTGGTTCCCAGCACCCATGTGGTGGCTCACAACTGCCGAACTCCAGTTCCAAGGGATCTGACATCCTGTTATGAACACCACAGGCACCAGGCACACCCATGGTACACAGACATCCATGCAAGCAAAACACTCATACTCATAAAATAAAATAAACACAAAATTTTAAAGTTTTGCAAGAACGTAGATCAATGTTAGTCTCATAAATTTTGGAGAGTATAATTATTTAAAAAGTTATGTATGTTGCTGGGAGTGGTGGTGCACACCTTTAATACCAACATTTGGGAGATAGGCAGATCTTTGTGAATTCAAAACTAACCTGGTCTGCATAGTGAGTACTAGGCCAGTCAGTAACTAGTACTAGTTAGTAGTAAAACTATCTCAAAAGTATTTTTTTTTGCTCTGTTCAATAATGTGAGTCAATATTGATTGAAATATTTTTTTCTAGTTTTATCGAAGTATAGATGGCATATAAGAAATTGAAGATAATTAGTGCATATAATTTGGTGAGTTGGAACATATGTACACCTGTGTGTTATCATCACCACAATCAAGATAATAAACAAATCCATTATATCCAAATGTTTCTCTCTGTGGGTTTTGTCTGTTTGACGGTAGGAACACTGAGTATGAACTGTACTCAACAACAATAAGCTTTTGTCTTGTTGGCCTTGAGCCCAGGGCTTTAGACCTGCTCCACCATTGTGCCACGCTCCTGATCCATGCCTTCAACAATGTTTGAGGTGCACAATATCCTTTTGGTGGTGTGTTGCCTAGCAGCTCTCTGGAACACACTTAGGCTGTTAGACATCTTTGATGTGTGTCTTAACTACGATATATTCATTAGCACCTATGTGCAAACAACTAATAAATACACATCACAGATACCCAAATAACGCCTTAGTGAAAATGGTTTTAAAATATAGAAGGCTAGAGGCGTAGCTCGCTGACGGAGCATTTCTATAGCATCATACTGGTGCGCGCGCACACACACAGTGGTACCCGTTTCACAGGGTTAAGAAACGCTGATTTCTTGTTGGTTTGTTTACTTGAAACTCACAGAGATCCACCTGCCCTGGCCTCCTGGGATTAAAGGTGAGTCCCACCACACCTAGCAAATGAGCACTTCTTATTTCACTAAAAAAGGGACTGTGCTGGAGCTGGAGAGATGGCTCAGCGGTTAAGAGCTCTGGCTGCCCTTCCAGAAGACACAAGTTCAATTCCTGGAACCCACATGGTGCCTCACAACCATTTGTAACACCACTTCTAGGGAATCTGACACCCTCTTCTGGTCTCCAAGAGCACCTGGCACACGAGTGGTACTTGACATCCAGGCAAAACACTCATACACGAAAAATAACAATAAAAATTTTAAAACTAAATAAATAAATGCTGAATCAAACAGACGAATTCTTTGTCTCTGACTAAGGTCGTTGGCAATTGCATTTGCTATACATTAAGAGGAGGGTGAGATCATGTTTATGACCATGCCTTTGCCTGGGTGGACTGAGCTGATGCTAAGGGTGGGTGGTGGCTGTAGAGGTAGAGCCCACGTTCGCTGGGGACAGTGAAAGATAAGGTAGACACTGGGGAAGGCTGTGGACTCCTCCCCCTCACACTGTCCTCTTGATGTCTGACGGTGGCTGTGGCAGCTCTGCTCTGCCGGGAACTGGCTGTGAGAGGAATCAAGCCTCTGCTCTACCTAATGGCAGAAGTTCTGTGGACTTCCAGTTTGACCCAACAGAAACAACCAATGAGTCTAATTCTATTTCTCATACTTCAAGTCTCTTCCCTAGCTTGCTTGCTTGTCGGCTTGCCTGCTTTTTATTTATTTATGAACCAAGTTCTTGCTTTGTGAGGTTGGCACAGAACTCACTAGGTAGCCCAGATGGTCAAACTTCTCATCTGTCCCAGGCTCCCAAACTTCTGGAATTACCTGTGTATACATCACATTTAGCTTCTACCTTAGCTGTCATTCATTCATTCATTCATTCATTCATTCAGAGACAGGTCTCTCCTTGCATCCTTGGCTGGCCTGGAGCTTACTGTGTAGTCCAGGCTAGCGTAGAATTCACAGAGATCTACCTGCCTCTGCCCTCCAAGTGCTGAGATTAAAGTTGCACGCTACCTCCTTTCCTCCACCTTTAAAAGGTAGACTTCCCTGTCTTTATCTTTATCCTTGCCCTTGTCAAGCCAGATTATCCCAGAATTCCAGCTTGACGTCTCCCTCTTCACCAGTAGCCACACACTAAACCCAGCCCTCAGTGCATGCCCCAAGCCTCTGCTTTTCGCTCCTCTCTTTCTGGATACATCGCTTCTCATCTAAACCTATCGCACCCCCAAGTTACTTATATTCCTAAATTCATACTTATAATGTTATGCCAGCTGCCATTTAGAAAACAGGCAGGCCATTCTATGTTCACTTTCACTGACAAAGTGATGGGCGTTTCTGGGGCAACCCCCAGCCAAAACTTAGAACAGCCATAGATTGGGGTACCGTTGTGTTATGTAGGGAGTGGCCTTAGTTTAAGTCATTCTTCATGACTGCTCCCGTGTAATCTCAGTTAAAAAAAAAAGTCAAGGAGGGTCTGGAGAGATGGCTCAGCAGTTAAGAGCACTGACTGCTCTTCCAGAGGACCTGGGTTCAATTCCCATCCTCCGCATGGCGGCTCACAACTGCCTGGAACTCCAGTTTCAGGGAATCCGGCACCCTCACACAGACACGTACATGCACGCGAAACACTAATGCACACGATAATAAATAGATTTTTTTTTAAAAAAAAAAGGACGAAGAAAATACCTGTAATTATTTGTTGCCCATTCTTAGCCATTTTTATAGAACATTTTACAAACATTTTCAACTCACATTTCAAGGAGAGATGTACTACGACAGCGCCTAGTTATTCTGATAACCTTCCACTCATAGCTCCTAACAACAGACTTCAAAGGATATTATTTTGTCTTACACCATGATTTGTGCACTTATATTGACTCTCAGTGCTCAGTGGGCTGGTAAAAGCACAGCTCCTCACAGCATTAAGCATAAACCCCGTGAACAGAATGACTTTGATTGCTAGTATATTTTCATGCAAATTCAGAACACGGAAACAAGCTGATGACGACGGAGCTGTTTACAGCACATTAACCAGCATAAGTTTTATAATTAAGGCGGCTGCAGAAAGGAGAGAAAGTTGTTTTCTTTAGAATTTGTTACCTACTGATTATAACACAGCCGGCAAGGCTACAAAATCCATTTTTATAAATGCTGATAGCATCTGGGCCGAACACTAAGGAAAATCGTTTTCTTGAAGTTTTTCAAGGATACTTGTGCCGTGAAGAGGGGGAGAGAAGGCAGAGGTAAAGGTGAACCAAATGGCCTCGAGAGATGATGAAGTAGAAACTCATTTGAATGGAACAGACTGCTGAGCGACAGGTTTTTGTTTTGTTTTGAACTTGCTATGTTGACCAAAGGCATGGGGCTCTCTGGGGCAGTGACTGGGAGACAGTGTTTTGTTCTTTTGGTTGGCTTTTCGAGACATGGTTTCTGCATATTCCTGGCTGTCCTAGAACTCACTCTGTACTCCAGACTGGTCTCGACCTCACAGAGATCTGCCTACCTCTGCCTCCTAAGTGCTGGAGTTAAAGGTGTGCGACACCACTGCCGGGGCTGAGCCAGTGATTTTTAAAGCTCCCCAAGTGGTTCTAATGCACAGCCAGAGTTGAGAATTTCTGGGAGAAGGACAGAGCTTGGTCATGGTGGTAGGTGCTGCAAAATGGGTATTGGGGTTGCAGATGAGCTTGTGCTAGTGGGGTCAACTCAACTCCAGCCCGTACCACCAAGGGCACAGGCAGCAGGAATCTGTTTGTTCCCTGGCAGTCAGTTCTTCTCCAAAACAATTCCAGGGAGGCAAGCAGGAAATTACACAAATGTCGAGTACTTAGACTTGTACTAAGAACACTTAAAAGTTGTTTGCCCTTTTTTGGGGAGAACAAATTTTCCTTTTCACCCCTG